AAAGCTTCATTATAAGCACGTCAGGCAAGCAAACGTCGGGCCGAAGTTAAATAATATATCGCGTTTTATTTAAAAGCTTTGTTATATTATTTTTATAGTAGATGCTTTTTAATAATCAAGGCGTGTTCAAATAAAAACTTCTTGTACTTGTATAACGATAACGGTTTGCCTACCGTATCCGTATAAAAGTTGTATCATCACTGAAAATCAGCGCTGCAATAGCTCAGTTATTGCTGCAACAACAAAGAGTTTTTGCAACTAACAGCTGACTCCACAGCAAAGTGTGTGTGGTTTTTTTGGGTTATTTGTAATCTATTCATATATAATCTATTGATTATTTAATTTTTTATTTGTTACAATAAAATATTCATTTATGACAATTTATATTGTCTCTTTCACCGTCTAACAAATTTTCGATTAAATATTGTGCCCTGACGCTTATATTTAAAAAAAAATATTCAACCATTAGAAGGAAGGCTACATACAATGTATATAGATGAGTTCAGTGATATCCTTCGTTTAAAATATTAATTACTTATCTAATCAATCATATTTACGCCATAACGATGTAATATTTAATCCACAGTTAATCGTTAACCACTGGTTACACGATAATTATTAACGGGGAAAATGTTAAGAATAGCGATTCGCAAAAGCACTTGTACGCGATTAGAATGTTATATCACTCGCTTCTATGAATTTTTATTGTCTGTGGACAATGGGTTGTTTGTAATTTTCATTGTTATAAAAATCATGCTGTTATTCACTAGATTATTTATAGTATATGAATTAATAGTTCAGTACATAAGTAGTTAGTATTTGATATCATTTAAATAAAACACTTTAACGGTTTAACTAATATATGCGTTTAACCTAAAAAGTGTACTACTCGCGTAAACTATAGACAGTATTTGATAACATTGTAAACAAAAATTTATTGCATGTTTTGAGTCAATCTTGTTGACTTTTACTAATTTATTGTTATTTTGTTTCCCTTTTCTTTATACAAAGGTTGCCTGGATGAGATCGAGATAGGCAATAATGCCGCCATTGCATAACTCTTTAATGTTAATTATTATAATAATATTTGTGTTTTATTTGTTTGTGCAATAAAGTGTTTTATTATTATTAGCTTTTAGTTCTTATACATGTTCATAATATTAGTTTAAACAAGAAAACTATTTATTATATATATGTTCCTAAAGCCTTATAAAAGCTTAAATTGAATCATATTATCGGTTTTATTAGTCCAATGGTGGCAATTTATTTTTAAAAATTTAATAACGACCAACAGGTCGCGAATTAAATTCTCGGGCTATTTTCAAATAAATAAAATTATATATTTCAGTTATTTCGTGATGTTTAATTGGTGATATAATTTATAACAATATTTAGACCGTCAATGACTTTTGCAGGACTCGAACCAACAACTTAGATTCGTGCCACTGGTAAACCAGCAAGTTAATATAATTTATCGTTCTTAGTTGTTCTTAATGGCATAGTTTAGAGATTAATTCAATTAACACACCTGAAAGGTAACTGGGTTTACTGCGCACTCGTGTTGCGCAGTGTAATGATCATATTATTGTAGCTATCATGTTTCTTTAGCGATGTGCTAATTCAGCTACAATTACATCGGGTCACTAGTTACTCGTCTTAAAATATTTCTCGCGACTTTGTTCTCTGGGTATAGCTATTTTGGCCATCAAAACTCATTTTTGTAAAGCTCCTATCTTTGACGCACGACGTCGTCCGCGCCCGGTCATGCAAATTAATCTATGAAGATTAGAATATACTGTCGTAGACAATTTTTAGGCGATTTAAAGGGGAATCATTCTTTCATAGATATTTTTTTGAACCACTTTCGCAGCGCACGCAACAGAAGAATTTTCCCAGTCTTTCCACATCACACACAGTCTTCGCTCCAGTAGGTTGCAGTGTGATGTTATATAGCATGAAGCGTTTCTGGATAAACGGTCTATGCAGCACAAAAATGATTTTTCAATTTGAACCTGAAGTTTCTGAGATTAGAACGTTCAAACAAACTAACAAACTCTTCAGCTTTCTACAATAATATTGTTAATACTTGTATTCCTGAAATCTTAAATATTTTTCGCACACATGGCAATGTTTTTGGTTTGGTTAGAGCAGCAGCACGGAACGCTGTTGATGCTGGTTCGACTCCCGTTCGTATGGTATATTTTCCAATCTATCGACCCAATCGGTTTTTAACACAACGTTTAATTTCCGTTTGTCAGTCTTCAGGTCAAGGAACTATTTGGCGTCGAGTGAAATTAAACTCTCGTTCTATTCACAGCACGTTTCGGCTCGCAACTCGCCCTTGGAAGCAAGCGCGGATATATATTCCACTTGGCTTGACAATATCATCGATTTGGTCTTGCGAGATTGCACTATATGTCGACATGACAACCTTCTACCATCAGCGATAGGCGATATGACATTCCTCCACTTCTAATACACCAGGCGATTGGCTAGACCAACAGCACGAAACGTGGATGCCGGTTCGATAAAAAAAATAACACGCACCTATTCATATTATCATAATAAATATTCAAGTAAAGTAAGGAAATATTTTAAGAAGCCATAAGGAAATTATAAGAACTATCTACACAATACAAACAGTAACGCCATTTCTTTTGAATTAAATGTACTCATAACGAAAAAAAGTGTAATTTAACGCTCTACGGGTCATGCGCAAGAGCATTTAACTAAAACCGTATTAATTAATGAGTTAACAAGATATAGAGGGTATGAGAGAAGAGAGTTCATAATTGTCTTGTTAATTTAGGTTGCATTTTGGAATGTAGTGAAAATTATATGTTATGCAGTATGTACATTAGACGTTGGGTGTTACTAGGTGGGCCTTGACGAGTCGATCTGGTTCGTATACCGAGATAGGAATTTTTATAAAAAAAACTCCCAGTTACAGTTACTTGATCGAATAGTAGTAATAAAACATCTACTTCATTTTAAGGTAGAGTGATTATTCCTTTCAAACACAGATACTTTCGGTTTAAAGACATCTCCAACTACTAAATTAAAAATCGTTATCACGCGGTCGATAAGAACGAGGTTCAACTTTACTTCGAGGGTAACTTTTAAATGTCAAATTTGAGGTCCTCGTGTGGGGTAAAGGGAGAACACATTTCTGCGTCAGATTTGCTTATCGATTTCATTTAGAAGACAGGTACCGTCGTATTTCCGCGTCCTGCCCGACCCAAACATTTTATTATTTCTCCAGTATTCGAACTCAGGAACTCTCGTGTAACAAAAACTTAAAACAACACGTACATTAGGCTATGGAGATAAAATTTCAATCTTCGAGATAAAATTTCAATTTACAAAATTAGAATAAAATTCACATTTCAAATTTCAGAATTATAAAGGTGTTAATTGAATGGATAGATAAAAAAAGTGAAGAACAACTACTGGCGTTTGAAGTCTTGATAAATCAGAATCTATTTAGAAAAATAATAGGAATCTACCCACTTGTTAATTGAATCTTCGTGTCATATATGATTACTTTATTTCAACGACGAATGATAATTATTTTTTACACAAAAGCACTAGGCTGGTTTTAACAGTAACATCAAATAACGTGTGATATTTCTAATATATATATTAGCTTATATTAGATATAAGCGTACTAGATTATAATCATTGTTTTTTTTGTCTTATAGTTGTGTACCTTGTGGAAACAAACATACATACATAGTGTCCAGATGATTTTTATTGTTTTATCGACAATTATTTCCATTTATAGGTTTTTCTTTTAATTAAACGTGGTGGACGCGACCTTTACAGGACATTACGACCCTTTTGAATGTTTTAGTATGTGTATTGTTAATTTCACGGCCAAAAATGTAATTGTTTTACTTTGCATATTAATAAGCTGTTTCCTTTTATGGAGCTAAACTTAATATTTGCGCGGGTATTTAAGCATCGTTCAGCGTATGAGTGTAACTTCATACGAAAGAAATATTTAAACGACTACCGTTTTGGTCATTGTTTTTTTATGATAGAGAAGAATGGGTCTTACAAAATGGAATGTTAGATACTCGTGCTCCAGCCATATAGCATCTCAGGAAGATGCGGTATACATCTATTTTGGCTTTGGGTAATTCGGAAATCCTCTGCCTAAAACCGAAACGCAATAAACTTCACCAATTTTCCAACTGTGAACAGTGGTTCGTGACCCAGGCGCAATTTTAATATTCGCGCCATCTATTTAATATCCAGATTTCAAGACGGAGTCCAAAATGGTTTAGAAGAATAATTGTGGATTCCCTTTTTGTTGTCAACAATAGTGAAAAACCTACTTTTAATAACTAGTTTTACCTAACAACCCTTCAAATCTGAAATTTAATTAGCATATTACAATCGTAAAATTTATCGAAAATAGCTACTGTATGTTTATAATAGTTGAATCTAGGTATTTGCTATTTTGCGTAGTCAACATTCTACCGATACATAGGAATATTTCCAACCTTTCTGCCAGCTTTCTATTAATAATTAATGTCATTTGTCTGTATGATTTATAATCTGTGCGAAATTTATAATGTATTTTGTCTGTTTTGTCCGACTCTCCCAAGGATACATACAGTGATAGATTTAACTAGAATTTAATGTGATTTCAACAACGATAAGAATAATGTCGATCGAGTAATTCGATCATTGGTCATACAGAGGTTCTGTTAACTTTCAAAATAACGCAAGAATCGAGAGTTTCACCGTAACACAGATGAGGCTATGAATCACGTCTTAGTTATGAGAAATTATTTAGATCGATAAAAGTTGTTAAAGTAGAATACACTTTGTCTAAGTAAAGTAAAAAACGTAGTGTTTTAATTGTTAAAATTTCTTCGTAACTCTGTCAGGTATAGATGCATAAAGAAAAAAAAACACTACAGTATATTAAAACAATCTAAAAATATGTTTTATTGCAGCAAATATTAAAAAATGAAAAGTAGAACACTCACCTACCGAATAATGAAAGTTTCACCTCCTTTTACTCAACAGATCACATACAACACTGATACAGATAATATTTATAATTTGTGCACAATATAATCTGTATTTTTTTCACGTGAAATCTGACGTGCAAAAAAGCGCGCGAATATTTTTTGACGGATCGCCGTTTAAATAGGGAACGAGACTCCGCCGCAACGTTCGATTTCAAACTGCCGTTTGCGATTTGACGCGGGCTCTCTCTCGATACAAAGAAAGACCTATAATCCTTCAGAAGAGGCGTTACAAAAACTATTATTATAATTGCTGTTGATAATTGCCCTGTAATTAATTCTGTGTATAAGAAATACATATACGTCATTTAGTGGCTTCCTTAATCCTTAGTAACTACAAAATTTCCGAGGCCTGAAATAGTGGTTTTTGTTAATAAGTTACACAAGAAAAGCGATGGAGGAGAAACACGAAGAATACACTTTTATAATTTAAACGCGTATTAATAACTCGATGTAAATTTCAGCTCACAAGTACTTTATTTTAAATATCAGCTCACAAGTACTTTAGGTTTATAGACTTTATTTCTCATAAGCTTGTGCATTTATAATGAGATTTACATAATAAAAGAACTTAAAAAACTACGTATACATATACGCGGGTGGCTTAAATAATAATAATTTACATATGGTTTTGCTCGACTATATATTTTTTCAACATCATTTTAAAGACTGTCTAAGTTGCGAGTAGTACACATTTAAATAAAACACTTTAACGGTTTAAAACGCATATATTGGAGACACGGCTGCTGTAGTCTCGTACCACGGCTGTGCAAAGCATCCGAAACGTCGGGCCGAAGTTAAAAATAATTTTCAAATAAGTTTAACTAATATATGTTTTAAACCGTTAAAGTTTTTATTTAAATATTTTAAAGACTTCGTAACTATCAACGCTGCGAATACATAGAGGTAAACTATTAAATAATTGTACTCCTTCATATAGTATTGTTTTTTTGCCATAGTTTGTTCTCGGCTTGATTAATTCAAGCTGTAATTCATCTTTATTTCTTAAGTTTAAAGTTTTACTGATGTAAGTTAATTTAATATTGGAGTGAATGTTTTTTGATATAATCTTTCGAATTAAGATGCAAATGTTATAAAAATAAAGATTTCTTAAATTTAATATTTTACTTTTTGAGTAGATTTCGTTAGTTGGAGTTGTATGTTGATAATGAAAAAGAATTTTTATTATTTTATTTTGAGTTCATTTAAGTGATACTTTAATTTAAGTGAATCTAAAAAATCATTATCGCACTACTATAAGAATATAACTTGTTGTTAACTCTGCTTTTGTTGTTTGAGATCGCCTTCGTAGTTTAATGTTAAAATGTTTCTCTAGATCTACATATCGCAAAAAAAGATCTAGGCACCTTTAAATAATTAAAATATTTTAAAGGCTTATATAACTTGACATAGAAAGTTTCACAAAACCTTGTACATACGTTCCATTTCACTGCTTCTTTTCATTTTATTGAAATGTTATATCGTTCATTACCTCGAGGATGAAGCCTTATAGTACTATAAGACAGACAGACTATATTATAGACAGATTGACAAACTTTCACATTTCACGGAGGTTTTTCAAACACTGTTTGTTATTTGTGACTGCACTATAAGTTGCGCAGACTATAATGGAGTAAGTCCTCGACAGTCTAATACTTTTTAAGTCTATGTTATCTATTTGCATGGTTTTATTTGATAGCCATGGAAAATGTCACGAAAGCACAAACAGGCGCATTTAGTCACATTGTCATTAATTATTATTCTCACTTAACAATGTTACTAACAGATATAACATATTTTAATTTTGCTCTTGTTTTAAATTACTGTAATATGTCGCGTATTTACGACTAAGATGCGTAAAATGTGTAAAAATAGAAACCCATTCTAGGTATAAAGTCAAATCATTTGATTAGTATTGTATACAATAATGGTTTATATTTGTAATTATAATATATTTACTAAAGTACGTTTTTATTTAATTAGTTGAGCACTTTTTTATAAACATTATCACAATTACTGATTTTTATTTCGGAGTTAAAATTCGTTTCTTAATTTTCTCTACTTTGGTTCAAGGTCAATTAAAATAAAACAAATAATTGCCTTTCCTACAGTAGGACATGGGACGTACATAATTCTGCGTCCACTGATGGTTTTGATTAAGAGGCACATTATCAGACTTCATTGCCCTGCCCGACCGAAACAGTTTATTGTTCTTGCGTTCGAACCCGGGATCTTTCGTGCTTAACACAGTCAAGGTGTTTAACTATTAAACTTTGGAGGTATATATTTGGAAAGAATAACAGAAAACATATACTCGCTCGAATGTTCAATTATCGAGATTATCGATGTCTAACAAGCTTCATATTATAAAACTATCGGAGACAGCTATCAGAATCGGAATGAAGTGATTCTGTAAGAATTATATAATAATTTTTCGCAAGATGCGAGGCGACCGTGCAAGGTAGGTACTTGACATTAATAAGTAGGTCTGTGCCACTTCCGCCATCTCGTGTCTACTTCACAGCGTTCGCTAGAGCCAATGCGATACTCAAAGAAAGGATCAAGATGGGGGATTAAATGGGGAGCAAAAGGGTTTTTTTACATGAGGGAGGAGGACGGACGAAGCATGGGGTTCCCTTGATGGAAGGTGAAAGACCCGAGGCTAAAGCTTCAAACAAGTGTGCTGTAGGCTTTGAATATTGGCAATCTACAGATTGAAACTGAAACGTGATTAAACTTCAAGGTTGTTTAATCTGTTGACGGTGGTTCGTGACCCGGACGAAATTTCGATATTCCTACCACCCAATTTATATCCAGATTTCCAGGCGACATCCAACGTGTCAGAAAAATTATAAATCGATTAGAAAAGTATTCGACCTGGTGGGGATCGTATCCACAACCTGTTGATTATAGCCGTATAGAGTAAGATCCCGGTGTCGCCAGAACTACGTCATTTTTGCAAAGCTAAAATTTCCATGATCTATAGTCTAGTTTGTAGTTAGGAGAGTATGCGTACTTACTAGCTCGAATGCGGTGCCCTTTCACAGGTAGCGCGACCTACAGGTGTTTCAAAACTGTACTCACCTACGTTAAATTAGAAATGCTCATATTTAAATATATTTTTGACAATATTATCAAAAATAGATACACGTTATTGCCAGTCCGTTTCTGTTGGCCATTACTTCCGCCAGACATTATAAAGATTGTTAAAAATGAGATAAACTAACTAGACATAATTCCGTGGTACTATTCCCAAACGTTTTGTTAGCAGCCAGACCAATCCAATGGATCAATTCTCCCAGACACCTCAAAAGCCCTCTCTGCACTTCCTTGTAAGTTTTTCGTGCGCTTTAATTCGAGTGAGAACACTACGTGGCTTTATACAGATAATTAAAATGATGGTTATTTTATTTATGGAGCTTGATAAAAATTTTAAATAAACATAGTTATGATCATTCGCAGATATTTAGATCAAATATCTTTGAAAAAAAAATTGATTGAAAATGTTACAATTGACAAATTAAGATTACAAAAAATATGTTATATGTACTTGCTTAAACTACAGATGATATGGGACACAATATATTGTAAACATTAAAATAACCACCACTGTAGTTAACAATAGTAAAATAAATCAATAAATCTAGGTTGTATAATAATACAAAGATAAGTGTAATATTTCATCAAAAGCGGTCCAGTCTTTCTGTTATAATAAACAAATAAAAAAATGTATGATTGTTATTTGACATTTTTTTCGATACAATACAGTTCCATACAAGGAAAAGGTTTTAGTTAGTTGTACCTTTAGTAAGTTGTGATGTTTTATCGATTTTCAGTTTGTTAAATAAGATTGAATGTCGAAAGTTTGTGGATGTAGTAATAGATGGCATATAACCAAATCATATAATTTATCAAGACAGCGTCATCTAGCAGATACTCTTAAAACTACAACATACAATTAAAATGAAAATTGTTATATTCTCTTTAGTTCTAAAACTGTTTACTAGAGGGCAGAGTTAGCAAAAATACTTTTTCTGTTTTTGTCTTATTGAAAAATTAGACTGGGATATCTATTAAGATTAATTATATATCAATAATTACTTGTTATGTTGAATTAACGACAATTTTAACAATTTAGTATAATGAAAGTTTCGCTGACGTTGTAATCTAGTTCACAATAATTCAAATAGGAATTATGTTTCTCACGACGCAATTTTCGAAATTTTCTTACGAAAATGCATTGACCTAACCTATGACACAATGGGAATCGAATTCCGAACGTTGCACGCTTAATTAAATGCTGTGCAATAAGTTAACTGTTGAGCCACTAAGATAATAATACACAAATACTTCATAAAAACTTATGTTAGAGGACAAGTTTTACGTTTCCGACCTTTTACCATGAACTCATAATATATTTATGTTTTATGTAACTTAACCATTGTTTGCAACGCACCATACATTAGCTTGCAAATTGTTCAAGTTCAGTGGGGTTCTATTAGTAATAAACTCGTAAGTTACTTTACTTAAGTAGCAATTAATGACGTGATATTGATTGTGAATTAATAATCTAAATATTATATAGTTAAGGTTTGTATGTTAAAAGTGTATATATTATATATCTATAAATGTGTAAGTTATTATATATTATTACATATAAATTGACGCCAAATTGGTGTTTTAAATACAGTTAAAGTTTTTGATAATTAAAAAAATCTACATATTTAATTTCACAAATACGTTGACAGTGGAAACTTTTTTATATATTTGCGTTTGTAAGGTTTCGTTTTTTTCAATCTTCTAAAATTTATGGTACCAAAAAACAAGTATAAATTTAATTTAACAGATCGCTTATACACATAAACGCTTTTTACGGTTTAAAACGCGAAATATATTAGTTAAGTTATTAACTGTTTCCTATTATGTTGACAAGTTAACTAAAATATTTCGCGTTTTAAACCGTCAAGAGTGTTCCTTTAAATGCCTACTCGCGTGATCAGACAGACCTGTACTAAATTTAATGTCGTTTTACATAATACAGTTAAACAAAAATGCATTCAGCAATTCCAGACGAATATATATAACAATTGCATATAAATATTTGCTTATGTACTGTCTCTACTATCGAATCTAGTGTGAAGGCTCTTTCCTTGAAGGTCTTACAAAACCCCCGGCGAAAGCTGATTCTGCAAGGCGGACTACAAATAAAAGATAATTTTCCCATTCATGGGCGATATACTTACTTCGCAGGTTTTTATGCTTCATATTATATTCATACTTGCCAACGTAATTTAAAAAAAATAATAGATCGAATTTAAGCAAAGTAACAAGTTTATCACTAGTGTTATATACTATTATATACGTACTGTATGCTAACGTTAAAAAGCTGAAGAGTTTGTTTGTTTGTTTGAACGCGCTAATCTCAGAAAGTACTGGTTCAAATTTATTTTTTTGCATTGTTTAGCGAATTTAACGACAAAGGTTTTAGCCTATAAAACATCACGCTGCGATCACCCCCAAAAACTATGTACTAAAGAATGATGTAACTTTAAAGAATCTAAGAAAATACGTCACGTTATGGGTACAGCTGTAGTTTATAAAGATGATGAGGAGGTTTGCAAAAATAAATTTTAAAGCCTAACATTATTCTAAGCGGACGAAGTCGCTGGCATAGCTAATTTATGAAAAATAGAGGCCCATCCATTATAATAGTACTATAAATATGTAAATAAATAAATGCAAATGTATTGTTTTTTACCATATTTTTAGAAATCCTAGCACTCTTTCACGGAAAAACACTATGTGCTTAGTAACATTACAATAAGATTACGAGATTTGCTTTGGTTTGGCGAAAGGGTTGGATTAGCGTAAGCCTTCAGATACATTGCGTTTCTAAGTCGACTGTGGACCCGACAGATATAATCTCATATGTTTGTTTAATATATCTACAATAAAGGAATATGTAGGTCGAATATTGTAATTTTCCTATTTACCCTTGATCCCTGTGTGATGGAAAAAAACCTTTTAAACCGCTTGCGATTAATTAATTAATTGCGATGTTTGACGAATTACGAAAAATACGATTAAACTAAAGCAAACTACTAATAAAAAAACATTTTTAACGGTTTAAAACAAATAACGGAATATTTTAATTGTTTTAATTGCGGCCGACGTTTCTGATGCCATCATCACGTGGGAACATCGAGAATATTATAAAGATTATGACTGAATACTGTCCATAGTTTACGCGAGTAGTACATGATTTACATGATGATACCTACTTATAAGTTCTGCTCCTTTTTAAATACAACGATGTTTATGAAGTTGAAGAGTTTGCTTGCTTGTTTGAACGCACTAATCTCCGGAACTACTGGTTCGAACTGAAAAAAAAATTGTTGGTTAGACCCTCTATCGAGGCAGGCTTTACGTATGATAGTTGATTGATTGGTGAGCAAAGAAACAGTGAAAAATGTGGAGGAAACAGGTTATATTATTCATCATTAAGGGATTCGGTTGCGTGCCCTCAGAAAACGGTTTCAGATACCGAAAATATATAATAAAAAAATGATTCCTCTTTAAATAATCTAAAAAAATGTCCGCGATAGTATATGTCTGTCTTTTAAGTTAAACTCACAAGTATCGTTTTTATTGTAATCGAATTTAATCGAAATACTTTATATGGCAAAATAACGTTTTCTAGGCCAGTTAATATTTCACACTAGCTGAGTCAGCGACTTCGTACGCGTAAAACCATACATCATCACGCATAGAATAGAAATTTTGGGTATCAATTTTTTGTTTTTGTAAACCTCCCATAGCCTTCCTCAATAAATGTTCTAACTAACACTAAAAAAATTTTCAATTCGCTGCAGTTGTTCCTGAGATTAGCGCGTGCAAACATACAAACTCTTTAGCTTTATATATATGTGTAAATTGTATATTTCAAATGTTCTAAGAAGAGTTAACATCAACGCAATCACGTAAAAACCACTCCACAGCCTTCAGAAGAATTATGTCAAGATATTTCTATGAATCATTCGCGGTGTCGTAACCTGTAAAACGACTTTGAGGAATAATCTTTACTGTAGTTGAATTCTCATGGTCTGGAGTTCAATCCTGTAGAAAAAAAATGTTGTGCGGTCATCTGCGGAAATGACTGTGTACAACCTTTATTTATAACTAGCTGCGACTTACACTTCTTACGTTTAGAATAGTTGTTTTGGGCAACAAAATTTGTTTTTAATAAAACACTTTAACGGTTTAAAACGCGATATATAGTTAAACTTGTTTGGAAACGACCCGAAGTTAAAAATAATTTCCAAATAAGTTTAACTAATTTATCGCGTTTTAAACCGTTAAAGTGTTTTATTTAAATGTGTACTACTCGCGTAAACTATAGACAGTATTTGAAATTTGTTTTTGCAAACTTCCTCTACATCATAGCATTGCTTTTCGGGCTGATCAGCCGACGTGAACGAGAAGTGGTTCTCGACGTTTCGCCATCACGTGCGGACGGCATCATCAGGAGATGTTAGCTCCTCGATTGCTCGAAGAATTAGTACATCGACATCTTTATAAAATTAAGCTGCTACCCGCGACGTCTGCGCTCCGTCGTTTTTGCAATTTAATCTTAATAGATGGAAACAATATACGAAGAATCATGCCTGCAATAGTTGCCACAGCGCACGTATCGGAGCCCCACAAAAATTAATATTTTACCCCAATTTTTCCACATTTCCCATTGTATTTTGCTTATTGGTCGCAGCTTGATGTTTTATAGCCTAAAGAAATTTTCAAATCAACCCCTTAGTTCGTGAGATTAGCGCGTTCAAACAAACTAACACAAAAATCTATATATAATATTAGTTAAGATGATATAGACAGAGAGATGGAAGCAGGAATCATATTGCCTTCGAATTGAACTTATGAGTCATGAATCTGTTTAAAGTACTAAAAAAAACGAATCTACCCACTTGTGACGTTTCAATTTAAAATTGTATCGAGAAATTACTTTTTGATATTCTTGCGGAAGACATAATGTTTTGCGAAGGGTAAATCATGCGTCGTTAATGCTTTTACAATTTCCTACATGCGCACTAAGAATAAATGTAATCGCTTACACTCTTACTTTTTCGTAAATCCTCAGAGATTTCATATTTGACGAACTATCACTCGCTTCTCATGGTGTTAATATAACAGCTTAGAAATTTTCAAGTTAAACACTTTAACGGTTTAAAACGCGATATATATTACTTAAACTTATTTGAAAATTATTTTAACTACGGCCTGACGTTTCAAATCATTTCCAAATAGGTTTAATTAATATAAATCGCGTTTTAAACCGTCGAAAGATATTATTTGAATGTGTACTACTCGCGTAAACTACAGTACAGCTCAGGTATTTAATTCGACGTATCTGATGGATAAACGTATTGTCTAGCATTGCATAAAGCACTGGAGGTCCTGGGCCCGAATCCCAGGGAAACAATGAATCGTTTCGGTCAAGCAAGGCACAGTATGATCAACTACTTGCTCGTAAATAAAACCGATCAGTGAAGCGGACACAGAAATGTGTTCGCCCCACGCCCCACTGGGGAAACGAGATTTTACTTATACCATAATAAACTAAACTTACCGACCTCCATAGTTCGGTTTAGTCCTTGAGTTTGATCCCGGGAAACATTAGCTCAGCTCGACAGGGCACATAGATTTGATAAAGTACTTACCTGTAAATAAAATTGATCAAAGTAGTGAAACTCAATTTTCTTCTTATAGAATTGAGCAGTGGTACTGTGCCCGTTTTAATAGAAAGAAATAGATGTATTTACTATAATAACATTCAAAAAACAAACTTATTAATCAATTAAAAATTAAGATTAAATAATAAAGAAAAAGCCATAAGTTAAGAAGTAAAGCAAAGTTTATTTTTTTAATAGGAGTACTTCGAATTAGGCGTGATAACACGAAAAAAGTACAAAATATTTATACTAATCGTGACAATCGTATCATAATGCGTTTAAAGGTAACAAGTAAACATAAGGACTGCAGTTTACGCGAGTAGTATTCTTTTAAAACATCTTTAACGGTTTAAAACACCAAATATATTAGTTCAACTAATCTTTCAGTTTTTTTTATACGTGAGCGTAAACATTGGGTACGTTTTACGTGGTCACGGTAAAAAATAAGTTTAACGAATATATTTCGCGTTTTAAACTGTTAAAAGTATATCCATAAAATTTTTATTTACAATGGTAATTTTTAAAAGCTTGTCATAATTTTTAAACCACGTTGCAGCGACACACTCCAAAGAAATATAGGTATGACTAAGTACTGTTTACTTTTGCAATATCCACATGTAAGTACAATATTTGCGGTTACTTAGTGGCCAAATGGAGGATATTTATGGCCGATGGCCAACATATCCCTTGGATTGTCCACAAAGAAATATATATTCGCCTCCTTACAAATCCCTAGAAAATAAGCATTGACAATTATTTTTTTAGACTGCCAGTAACAATGATAGCTGTAAAATACTGCGTACGATGTTTTGTAGATTATACCATGGAAAAAGATATATTGAACAATTGGAAGTTTTAGTAATTAGCTATTTTTACTATCACGAAATATTTTTATTTTTAAAGATTTAAATTAAGGTTTTGTTTAATGATAGAGAGAGTTGATAGAAGATAAAGTCCCCCAGCCATATAACGAGATGCACTGTCGATCTATTTCGGCTTTGGATGTTCGGAAGTTCACAGATTGAAACCGAAACGCTAAATTTATACGATAGAGATAGTAGACATACCCCAGCCATACAATATCTACACAAAATGCACCGTCGACTTATTTTGGTTTTGGATATTTGGAAATTCTGTCGAAAGTTCTGAAACGCGACTAAACTTCACGGCTTTTATCTATAGACGGTGATTCGTGACCCAGAAAAAAAATCGACATTCCTACTACCTACTTAATATCCAGACTTCTAGATGGAGTATAATTTGTTTTAGAAAAATTATTTCACAAACATGTTAGACCCGGTGGAAATCTAACCCACGACCTGTTAAGTACTAGTGAAACTTTGCTACCATTAGACAAAGGAATTAGTCAAATCCGTAAGGTTATAAAGGAATAAAAACATACAAATAATATTCTTGACATATTGATGGATTACAAAACAACTTAATTGCGTTGAAAATTCGTAAGGGAGTCCAAACTAGGAAAGTTTTCCAATTAACAGGTTAAGCGATGATCATGACCTTTGTATAATGAGCTTAGGCGTTATATAGAGAATCGATTTGCGTGTTTGTTTTGAAGGCAATCGGGCTGCGCAGACGCAGACCAAGTTCAGTGTTAAGTGAGCGTGCGTCGTGCGCGCATGTACGAAGACCGCGAGTTTGTTTACGTGAAACAACTTGTTTATGGAATTGTTTTAGTTAGTTGCGCGAGATAAAAAACGGTAAGGTTTTATTAAAATTACTTCATAGATTTTTGTATGCTGCGGCAAGGTTATCATTAATTAATGGCATTTTAATGAGTAATAAATCTCAGTTCAGTTAATTAGTGTAGCGTCAATTGTCTGACGAATTAAAATATATAAATTGAATTTAACTCCAATGACAGATTAAACTATAAAGATAGTTCCACTAATAAAAGTATAATGCGTGGTGCTATAGTAAATAAATGATTACCATATAATTGCTAATAATTTAAAATAACAAACAATAACAGCTTTATAATTTAAAAATCGAAATTTTTTTCAATTTATTTTAGATTTTTAAATTGTATAGTGCCTTCATGTGCAATAACATGTAAAAAATAATAAAGTTTTCAAATAACAGCTTTATTACTTCACGTACGACCATGGGGATTTCTTTTTTTTGATAATTAAAAATGTAAGACGAAGTTTTAGTCTCCACGTCCCCGTAGTCCTCCACGGCGGCTGCGAAGCATCCGAAACGTCGGGCCGAAGTTAAAAAAAATTGTTAAATAAGTTTAACTTATATATATCGCGTTTTAAACCGTTAAAGTTTTATTTAAATGTGTATTACTCGCGTAAACGACAGACCGTCGAAGTTATAGAATGTACTAGCTGTTGACCCATGACGTCGTCCGTCACAATCTTCTTGCGAGTTAATCACAAAAGATTTACGAGATTGCAATAATTTTAACTCTTTCTTTAATTCTTTCTTTGATCTATCTTTGATTATCTAAAGAAGAATGGTTCTTTAACACATGTGTTTTCGCTGCGCACGCAACAAAAGCCCTTAAGGATGTACACATTTCCTTCGCTCCTATCGGTTACAGCGCGATGTTATATAGCCTAAAGCCTTTCTCGATAAATGGTCTATCTAACACAAATATAAAAACAAGTAGTTCCTGAGATTAGCCTGTTCAAACAAACAAACCCTTCAGTTTTACATTAGTATAGATAAAATGTCAATAATTAGAACAAAACCTCATATCCACTTAACCATTCTTCAAACTAACCTTTGAATATACAATAATGGTTTTATGATTAAAAGAAGTCCTTCTTACATATAAGGAACATTCCTTATTAAGGAATAAAATATCTTTATTATTCTCTTTAATTAATCTCTTTTTATTAGATAGTTGGCTGTAACATGTGTTAATGATATAATAAAGTTTTATATTAATACTAGCTGTAGCAGCGACTTTGTCCGCGAGAACCGTTATTTTGGGCATTCAAATTAGTTTTTGCAAACCCCGTCATCTTTATAAACTTAAGTTGTTAGCCACGACGTCGATCGCGTCCCTTCCCGTCGTTAAGTATCTTGGACCGTTTTCGCGACGTATGCATCTGAAACCAGAGATGAAAAATTTCCCCCGTTTTGTGCACATTTCCCGCTGTATCTTAGCTTGTATTAGTTACAGCACGATGTTTTATAGCCTATAGCCGTCCTCAAGTCGGACCCGTAGTTCCTGAGATTAGCGCGTTCAAACAAACAAACAAACTATTCAGTTTTATATATTAGTATAGATTAATGATCAAAACTTTGTCTGGTTCCTCGTCTATCATAAAAAAGCAGTCCGAAGTTTTAACTGGTTGTCTTACTAGTGAAATATAGTTATGTTAAACACTGTATGTGGGAAGTGATATGATAATGTCAAAGTCGTCAACATTTTGTAAATAAAAATAAGGAAATCATATTCATCGCTCTTCGTCTCCATCTCAGTGGCAATGTTATCTGGATCAAAATATATCTTAGGGATTTATGAAGTAAGAGAAATTAAGTCTCTGTAGTTTACGAGAGTAGTACAAATTTAATAAAAACAATTTTAACGGTAAAACGGGAAGTTTATAAATCAAATTAACTAAATTAATTAAATTGAAGTTTTAGAGGCTTTGGCAACTATAGTCACAGGGGGGTCGGTTGCAGCTTCGGGTCGCAGTTAAAATAATTTCACTCATATATTTTGCGTTTAAACCATTAAGTAAATACTATCTTTAGTTTGCGCGAGTAGTACACATTTGAATAAAATACTTTAACGGTTTAAAACGCGATATATAATAGTTAAACTTATTTTAAAATTATTTTTAACTTCGGCCCGACGTTTCGGATGCTTTGCAGCGTTCACCTGGAGACCTACGAGATAAATAAGTTTAACCGATATAAATCGCGTTTTAAACCGTTAAAGTGTTTTATTTATATATTAAGACAGTTGAAAAAGACTCCTACATATCATCTTATTAACCTTAGGGTTTTATTGATGCAATACATGCAAACATTTGTGACTTCCAAGTGTCTTTTGTTTTAATATCGTTTATATTAATAAATCGCCTTTTACAAGCAGCATCAAACACGAAGTATTATTTAATTATATTTACTATTACATTTGCCTGCTATAATGCAGGCAAATGTAATAGTATGTAGATATATGTATGTAATAGTAAATGTGTATGTAGATGTTATTCGTTATCGAATAAAAACAAACAAACCTAAATTTTTAGTACTTCACTACGTATTAACGTCACGCTACCATTTGTATATATTTTTGTAATTAACATCTCTTTGTTTAACACGCATTATATAGAACATTCCTTCATTAAAACTTTTTTTATTTTGACATCAGAGACATCCTCTATCTTTAGTCTCTCCGTGACCACGGCTGCTGCAAAGCATCCGAAACGTCGGGCCGAAGTTAAAAATAATTGTTAAATAAGTTTAACTAATATATCGCGTTGATATATTAGTTAAGCTTATTTGAATGAGTGTTTTATTTAAATGTGTACTACTCCCGTAATCTGTAAATAGTATTTCATTAACACTTTCAATAATGGTTTAAGAAACCAAAAATTACGTCAACAAATCACCGTTTTAATCAAAATTTTATCATTTTAATTTACTACTTTTCAAGAGTTAACAAATACCTTTTTCAATAATGGCGATAGCGAAAGGATCGTCAAATAAATTGTGATGTTCTTTATCTTTTATCGATTCTCTTTTATCATACAAACTATTAGTTTCCAGACTGCAAAGTATGCTTTTAATTGTCTACAACCTAAGACTTAGTCTTTAGTTTTTGTCAAAAAAATATCTTTTTTTAATTGTTCTTAGTAAGTAGTTAGTTTTTCTTAAGATAACATAGAACATTACGATTTATTAACTAAGGCATCACTTAAGTTGATAGAGTTCTTCTTATTTTTAAATAAAACACTTTAACGGTTTAAAATATATATTTCCAAATAAGTTTAACTAATATATCGCGTTTTAAACCGTCAAAGTGTTTTATTTAAATGTGTACTACTCGCGTAAACTATAGACAAGAGTTCTTCTGAAAAAATGTACGACACAGACAGGACTTGAACTGGCATCCACAGAGTTCCGTCGAGTACTGGCCGTCTCGAATTTGTTTTTAATGTTTAATCGATTTTTAATTTATATAATACCATTAGGTGTGAAAAATAATAAAGTTTTCAAAAGATTTCATCTTAGTTATCTCATCAAAATACATACATAAGTAGGTCCATGTCAATCTTTCATGCTAGGTTTACTGACTTAACGTCATTACGATTGTCATTACGTTATTGTTAGTCATTACGATTGTCGAAGGGCAAATAGGTATTTCACTTAAATCATTTCATTTTTCATAAATGCGGTTACAAAATAAGTTTTAGAGAAAATAAACGTAAGGACGTGTGTGCGGTGTGTTATGGAGTTTGTCGAGGGAAAACCGAATGAAAAACAAACTTACATGAGTAGATGGAGAATAAACAATCCCAATGTCAAATGTCACTGAAGCGTGTCGTGATCTAGGTTCCATCATCATCTGTATGATGACAAAGAGATATTATAATTTATTTTTGTATTAAGAATGATAAGATGTTGTGTGAAAATGTCGCAGGACAAATAAATGACTAATTCTAATACAAAACTCTCAAGACACATAACATACATTTTAACTAATACTTAAACCTGAAATTTTGACGGGCCTGTTTATCTGATGGTAGTCAACGGGTCGTGGGTTCGATCTCCACCAGGTTTTCATTTGTGTGTAATCTTTTAGAATATCGAAATTTCGCCCGAGCTACGAATCCCACACTAGCCCATAAAATATCTAAAGACAAAATTGCTGCCATCGCATCTCGTTAAGTGAAATATATCTGTCCTTCTCTAAAAAAATAAAAAAAAAAACAAATAAAATTGTTGGCCCAAAGAATTGCGGAGGCACATTAGTTATATGACAGCTTATAACAAAAAAATCATAAAATTTCCTTCCGGATCCACTCGTGTATTTTGTATAAATCTCAAGGTAAACAAAATAATTAATATAGACGAACTTTGTACGAAGGATTTTTTCTATGGAATTTTGTACATGGAAGTCTTGACGGCCTTGCGGTATTGGGTCATAGGTTCGAGTTAAGTCATGACAATGTTAATTTTATTCCTATCGACGTCAACTCAAAGTACAAGGTGTTCTATTGATAATATTAAGATACCAGTAAACAGATAATTAGCTTTTTGATTACTAATAACTCATAATGATCTAAAAACTTTGATATTAATTTAAAAATTAACTAATTAAATAAATTATTATTATAAGTATATTTCGCACATGGCATTATAAAAATTAAAATTCTATATGGTTTGAGCAGCAGGAACATTGTGGATGGTTGAAGTCCCGACGGTATTTTTTTCTCTCTATCTAATCTAAATAGCTTTTGAATTTACACAATTGTCTAATTAGATTGCAATATTATATAAGTAAAGGATTATTTTTTTTTACTGCACAGCTCAAACATTTGTTTTTTTTGGGGGCCGGGAGGCCTATTTACTTACTTTAAAACTTCTCTTGCCTATGTAACCATTTACGATACAGATTATATTGTGGTCTTTAAAATGTACGTTTTCAAAGTATAACTTATTTCTCCTCGGATTTTGAACTGATAATCGAAATTTAAAAGCTGGGGAGTTTTAAAAGTTTTTTCGTGTAAAA